ACTAAATTCAATGTAGTACGATTAGACGGTTATCCCGTGAGATTAGTCGAGACGTGTGTAGGCTGACATAAAAGGAAAAGAAAAACCATATCAAAGGATAATAAAATAAGTTAATTAAAGGTACCATGCCCTTAAATCAAGCCATAGGAAAGACAATGGGAGGGCATGATTAGGGTTTGTCACATGCAAATGGGAAGTATTTGAGTGGGCACTCAAGTGAAGTGAAAAACTCCATTTTTTTTTTCTTTTTCTCTTTTACAATAGAAAGCAATTATTGACCTCTCCTCTCACATCTCTCTTCTTTTGACTTCTTTTTATCAACACTTTATCTCACTCTAAAATTTGGACACATTTTTTTTCCCCAAAAAGTTCATTCCAACTTCCTTATGGAAGTTTGCTCACCAAACCCTTTTACTTTACACCTAATCCTTTTAACCTAATCTTTTTGTTGGATTCTTAATGGTTTTCTTTTGTCCCATCTCTCAAGAATATTTGTATGAATAATGATGCCTAATCTCCATCCATACCATTATATTATGGTCAAACCTTTTTTTTTCCCCTAATTTTCTCAAACTTTAAATTTTAGTTTGCTTAGTAACATCTTGTCTCATTCATATTTAAGATACACTAAAATGGTAGTTTTTTTCTTTAATTGTTCAAGATGGAATAATAATATAATACAAATTAAAATGGTTGAAAATGCATCTCCTTCAATTCTACAACTTGATTCCTTCCATTGAAGGTATCATACCTATTTTTCTTCTAGTAAACCCAAAAGTATGATCAGGAATATCTAATCATTTATTTATATCCTTAACATYTTCGAAGAAAATGACAATTGTAATGTTTAAGCACACAAGATCATTGCTAAACTTAGAAGTTTAATGGGTTACGGTAAATTTAACGACAAGATAATTGTTTAAAAAACAACCACCTCACTCCACCTCACCCCACTACAACACATGTATTTATTTCACCATTTAAGAAGTTAGAAAATCCAATATTATCATAAAAATAGAAATAACTAAAAAAAGTCATTTTTTTCAAGTACATATGAACTGCCAAAAAGGAAAACAAAATCATTGTGTAAGTTCAAATTAGGGAAGTAGAAATCAGAAAATGGGGTAGCCTAATTTCAAAGCCCTAATTTAATCTTTCCTCCGTTAGATAATATCTTCCTATAATAAACAATTGGATCCAATCCAAGTGAAGTGATCCACTTTTTGGCTGATTGGCCCTCTTTATAATTAAAAAAAAAAAGTTAAAAAACTATAAAACATCCAAATCCAAACAAAATAATTGAAGATATTGAACTTTTTTTTTTAATATTGATATTTGAAAAAGGTAAAAAGATGAGGTGAGAAGAGACCCAGCAGCAGGAAGTGAAGTAAATGGGAAGTGTAAGAAGGAAAGGCCAAATAAGAGGAGGGTCAGCAGTAACTTTCTACAAAAATTATTTACCGTTTTCCAAAATAGAGGCCTGTGCTCTGTGCTCTGTGTGGGCACGTGACCGATGCCCATTGCTTCACCTTCACGTCAACTATGAATTTACTGCCAGATTAACTACTCCCCCACTCCTTCCTTTCCTTAACATTCTCTTTTATTTACCTTTTTACCTTTCCATTAATTACCCATCGCCCAACAGAGATTTTCTAATACTACTGTCAGCGTTTAAAATTTGTTTATGAAAAAGTTTGAAATTTGTAGTGTGAATAGAGAGAATATTATAAATTTTTACCAAATTAAAAAGGATTTTAAAGTAAAAAATTGAGTGGAGGCTAGAAATGGAAAAAATTATAAAAAAAATGTGAAAATGGATGATATTTTAGTAAAAGAAGAAAAGGGTAAAAGTGGAAAGGTGGGGAAGATTGGACAGGGTGGCCTTGGGCAGGGCAGGGCGGCAAAACAGACCCTATCTAAGTACGGCATTTTCTCTCTCTCCTTTTTCTTTTTCTTTCTTTTTTTAAATTTTTTATAATTTTATTTATTTATTTTGAAATATACGTTCTAATCACAATGTTGAATGGTCCCTATAGTATGCAATCCAAAATTTATTTTTGTTTTTAGATTGATTGTCCGTTAATTATATATATTTTTTAAAATTATTTTGAGTTTCTTTAACCTAAATAGTAAAAATTTTGAAAACAACATTTTTATATTTTAAATGCTTTTGAAACTTTAAAATGTAGGATTATAATAAAAAATATAAAAATTTGGTTAAATATACTCTTCCATATATAAATTTATTTTATTTTATCAAAAATTAAAATATGTAAAATATAATATATCATAAATTACRTAATATTATAAAATGATTATCATACAAAATTTATAACATGTAGGTTAATAAATTAATTAATAATATTTTAGWWGRAACTAAAYAGTACTACTAGTTCATAAATATATTGCTAAAAACATCTCGATAATTTTTTAAATTRAGATTAAATTTCCAAATTTCCTAAAAAA